TCAAATGGTTCCTAAAGCCCCCTGAGGTGACACAAGCATCAACACAGAACCAGCTGCAGCTGGGCCACAAACCCAGACATGGTCCTCAGCAGTAGCCTAGACCTGGTGGTCACCGTTACCCAGGTGGTGGCAAAGGCCACCCAGATCAGTATGGCCCCAGCAGCATGGCTTGTGGACCCAAAGATGGACTCAGGAGGCAGCCCAGCACACTGGAATCAGCAAGGAACTCAACACAACAGGAGTCATGGACATCAACAGAGACCCTGGTTACCGAAGGACCAGGGACCTAGGCATGGCCCTTGGCAGCAGCCTGGCCGGCCCGGCCATCACCACAGCCCCAGGTGGCAAGCAGACTCTAACACCTGCCCACTTGCACCGTCTTCATTTCTCCCTTTCTACATCTTTCCACAGAACATGAACCACTCTGCTTTCCTACCTCTCCCATCTCTCCACCAAATACTTCCTAAAGTTAGTAAGAAGAGACGTGGCAAGAATTTGAATGCAGCAGTCAATCCTTAGTTTAGAGCATTTTCTTAATTAGTGATTGGTGAGAAAGCTCCAGCCCATTGTGGGTGGTGCCATCCTTGGTTTGATGGTAATGAGTTCTATAGGAAAGCAGGCTGAGGAAGCCACAGGGAATAAACCAGTAAGCAGCAGCCTTCCATGGCCTTTGCATCAGTCTCTGCCTCCAGGTTCCTGGCCTATTGCATTTCTGCCTTGGTTTCTCTCAATGGACAGTGTCTTGGGATATGTAAACTGAATGAACACTTTCCTCTCCAAGGTTATGGTGTTTCTTCATAGGAATAGAAGACAGTGTCTGTCTTTTTTTTTTTTTTTGGTTTTTCAAGACAGGGTTTCTCTGTATTGTTTTGGAGGCTGTCCTGGAACTAGCTTTGTTGACCAGGCTGGCCTCGAACTCACAGAGATCCGCCTGCCTCTGCCTCCCGAGTGCTGGAATTAAAGGTATGTGCCACCACCGCCTGGCTTGCTTGTTTTTTGAGACAGGGTTATGCATTGCTTTGGAGCCTGTCCTGGAATTAGCTCTGTAGATCATCCTGGCCTTGAACTCAGAGATCCGCCTGCCTCTGCCTTCCGAGTGTTGGGATTAAAGGCGTGCACCACCAATGCTCTGCCAGTGTCTGGTTTTTGTTTGCTTCAGTGCTGAGATACAAAGCTGGCAACACCATAACTAACTTGGTGCTTTATTAGATGGGGCCTCACTTTATAGCTGGAACTCAAAATTCCCCTGCCTCAGCCTCCAGAGCACTGGAATTATAGACACGTGCCACTTCCTTAGAGCAAAGATCATTCTGGAAGCAGAAAATTTAAAACTCAACCTTGGGAGAAATAGCTATTATTGTTCATTTTCAATATTTATCTGAAATTTGCTTACTTACTGCTGGTGCTTTACTATTCCTGCAGGTTAAGGACCAGGAACTGCCAAATGTTTACCATAGATTTGCAGGGCTGGGCGGTGGTGGTGCACACCTTTAATCCCAGCACTTGGGAGGCAGAGGCAGGCGGATCTCTGTGAGTTCGAGGCCAGCCTGATCTACAGAGTGAGTTCCAGGACAGCCTCCAACAAAACAATACAGAGAAATCCTGCCTCGAAAAAAAAAAAAAGCAGAAAACAAAAATACTAAACTAAGCAGGAAAAATTGTAGGTTATCATTATAAACAAAAATTTTTTCCACTGTTTTGTTATGAAGACCCATTTGACCTTGAACTCACTCACAATCCTACCTCAGTTTCCTGAGTGCTAAGACCAGAATGCCAGGGTTAAGGAAACGTGCCATTATAGCCAACTATTAATACTGTGTAATTTGAAGAGTTTAAGAGTCCCATACACTGGAATTAAACCCATAATGTGATTTCTCAAGTTTTACATCCAGCAGAAAAGTGTGAAAATGTCCTGCATTAAATACACCTTGTTCTTCCAAACAAGCAGCAGGGGCTAAATAAAGATTTAAAGGAAGAGAAGCCAGGCGTTGGTGGCGCACGCCTTTAATCCCAGCACTTGGGAGGCAGAGGCAGGTGGATCTCTGTGAGTTCGAGGTCAGCCTGGTCTACAGAGCTAGTTCCAGGACAGCCTCCAAAACAACACAGAGAAACCCTGTCTCGAAAAACAAAAAACAAAAAAAAAAAAAAAAAAGGAAGAGGAGAAGCATAACTCACTAAAGAATATAGCTTGGTTTTACGAGACAGGGTTTCTCTGTATTGTTTTAAAACCATGTGGAGCTGGGCGGTGGTGGCACACGCCTTTAATCCCAGCACTCGGGAGGCAGAGGCAGGCGGATCTCTGTGAGTTCAAGGCCAGGCTGGACCGACAGCCTGCAAAACAATACAGAGAAACCCTGTCTCGTAAAAACAAACAAACAAAAAACCAAAACAAAAAAAAAAAAATATAGCTTGGCTACACTTGTCCCCAAATACAGCCAGGATGAGGAACTGCTGTAAAGACATGGGTCTAACCCAGTTTACAAACGGCCAGTCTCTGCTTGCTCACTTCTCAGTTAAGGCAAATGACCATCACTCCCTTACCTTGCTTCTCTTTTTCTTTGAGTGGATCTGTGTTATAGACTCGGAATCCATTTTCCATTCCACACGCAAAACATCCTAAAGCAAGAAATATGAAAGAGACATGTTAGTTCCCACGGCTGCCAGCAGAAGAGGTCCAGGGAAGCTTGTCACATGTTCAAACCACACATGGAGTGTACTAAGCCACAGCTACTTCAGGAGCAGCCATCATCCCCTGGGATGAACCCTGGATTGCATTTAACACTCATTCTCCAGCATTCCTGTGGACTAGGTTTCTGCTTAAACATTGGGCATGCTACCTCTCACTAACCCAGACTATCACCAGACTCCCCTTCTAGAACACAGTGCTTGACTACTGTGTCAGGTACAATGTTAGGGGATGTGCAGTGTTAGGAGACAGGAGGATGGGGGTCATGGACTCTAAACCAGGGAAGGAGACAAAAGACTGCTCTTTTCCACCTCCAGAGTAATCTCCTAGAAACCATTTCTAAGCTGGGCAGTGGTAGTGGTGGTGGTGGCTGCCTTTAATCCCAGTACTGGGAGGCAAAGGCAGAAGCAGGCGGGTCTCTGGCTTTCAAAAACAAGATTTTAGGCCGGGCGTTGGTGGCTCATGCCTTTAATCCCAGCACTCGGGAGGCAGAGGCAGGCAGATCTCTGTAAGTTCGAGGCCAGGCTGGATCGACAGCCTCCAAAACAGAGAAACGCTGTCTCGTAAAACCAAAAAAAAAAAAAAAAAAAAAAACAAGATTTTGGGAGACAGGCGTTGGTGGCACATGCACTTGGGAGACAGAGAGGAGGATCTCTGTGAGTTCAAGGCCACCCTGGTCTACAGAGTGGGTTCCAGGGTAGTCAAGACTGTTATATAGACAAATTATGTCTCAAAAAACAAAAAGAAAGAAAAGAAAAGAAAGAAAGCAATCCTGAGGTCTCCAATGACTTCATTCTTACCCATTCTTACTCAAACTCTCAAACTCGTGTCACAGCCACGGACAGCAACTGACTTAGGACATCCCAGCCACTGTCTCCAAACAACATACTCAGATTGTCCAAGTCCAAATGAAAAGTACTGCATGGAACTAAAAAAGCATCAAGGTCTCAAGCTCAGAAGATGACATAGTGATTCCTATAATCATGGCAACATAAAACTACATCACTTAACGTCAAACACGATGCCCAGCTATTATTCAAATCAAGCTTCGGCTGCCAAACCCTGTCCCAACAACAACAAAATTCAAGTTAAGTTCATTTTCTAAGACAGGAAATCATACATTAACTTAAGTTCCCGCAAAATCTTATTATTTTCCGAGACAGGGTTTCTCAGTGTAGCCCTGGTTGTCCTGGAACTCGAGTTGTAGACCAAGCTGGCCTTGAACTCACAGAGATCCTCCTGCCTCTGTCTCCCTAGTGATGGGATTAAAGGAGTGTGCCACCAATGCCCGGCTCACAAAATCTTGTTTTTGAAAGCCAATGTTAAAACTCTTAGAAGCCCAGAATATCAGCCTTTGCTCTTTTTTTCTTCCTTTGGAGAGATTTAGAAAAGGGAACTTAGCTGGGCATAGTGCCAAACTCTAACCTTTAATCATCGTTCTCCGGAGGCAGAGGCAGGCAGAAGTGAGGACAGCCTGGTCTACAAAGTGAGTTCCAGGATAGCCAGGGTTACAGAGAGAAACAGTCTCCGAAAGAAACAAGAAAAAAAAAAAATAGGAGGAGGAACTTGACATCCGAGTCAGGGGATCACCAAGAAGGGGGTCCTGGTCACAGCACGCAGGGGCAAGAACACCTCCCCCAAGACCCCAAACTCCAAGAGCAGTTCCCGAAAAAGGCGTTAAGTCCTTTCGTTCCACTCAACAGAAGAAAACACTAGAGGGGAGGGCGGGGTGCACCGCTGGGACCCGCATCAAGGCGCCAGCGTACACTTGGCGAAGGTGTCAGCTCACAAGAACCATGACTGTTGGGACTTTCGACAACACCCGATGGCAACGCAAGCGCTTAAGACCCTCACTCTCGGCAGTAAGCCTGCGTGATCTGGGCACCCGGTAAAAGAGTCAGGCTGCCCGCCGACAGCGGCGGCGCGCCCGCGGGGGTGGGGTGGAGTGGGGGTGTCTCCATGCAGGGTGGTTCGGAGACCTCCCGAAAAGAGCCGAGGGTACGGGGGACACTCGCGACAGGTCCCGCCGGGGCCCTGCAGGAGCGACAGCGTCGGGTCGGGGTCTCCCGGAAGGGCTGGGGTTTTTTGCCACAGAGCTGGGCCCGGGAGTCTCACCATGGTCCTGATTGAAGCCGGCATACAGCAGCCCGTTGCCGTGGGGGTTACAGGGCAGGAGGTTCATGGCGCCGTCGCGGGATCCGTCGCGCCTCAGCACCGCATACCGCTCAAACACAGACGCTCTATCCCAGTCGCGCGGCGCTAGGGCCGCCGCGGCCGGAAGCAAGGGTCCTAGGGGCTTGCGTCGTGCGTGTGTCGTCAGCGCGTGCGTCGTCAGTGTGCGCGGACCCGTGGGTGCGCGTGCGCCCAAGACTTCCCACCTCTGGAAGTTGGTGGCGGCCTGGAGATGCCAAGCACATCCGTAAGGGGCGGGGCTGGACGGTTCCGTGGGAGGAGCTGCAGAGGGAGGGAGGTGCTGTTAAGGTACTCACACATCAGGGCAGGGCTGACGCGACGAGGACTTGCTAGAGGAAAGACCGCTCCCGTCCCGGAACCCTGGCCACGTTCCCAGGGAACACCCGTTCCTTTTAATGGCACCTGCGTTTTCCAACGGACACACCCTCCCCAAGAAACAGACACAGACAGACTATTCCCCTATGTCTTTCTGAGCGCCCCCAACCGTCTGACACGTCTCCCCACAGACACAAATTCCCCAAGAGACACCTCCCTAGCTCCAAGAGTCTCACAGGACACAACCCCCAGCATCTTGGAAGCAAAGAGCCATCATTGTGGGAGTCCTTGAAGTTCTGGCTTCCAGAGCTTCAGAAGTGTGAAAATCGTGCTTCTATTATTTATAAACTACCCTGTCTTGAGCAATTTTTGTGACAGTTCTTCAAACGACCCAAGATATTCTCGTCCCCCTCTCTGCCCCACCCGATAACCTGGGAAGGAAGTTCATCTCACAGGGAGAGCTTGTGAGCCCACTTTGCCACCTTGCAGCCTGATTCCAGTTACCTCACTCCAAGCAGCTTTGATTTTGCTTATGAAACCACGTTTAATTTGATAAAGCTTTTTTTTTTCCCCAGCCATGTAAGTCTGATATTTTCAGATGTTTGCCGAAACATACATCGTGGCACCCATAATGCATGCATTTTGTCTACTTAAATTTTGAAGATTTATTTTCTCTGTGTGTGTGTGTGTGTGTGTGTGTGTGTGTGTGTGTGTGTATGTATGCCATATGGGTGAGGGTACCCTCAGAGGCTATAGGACATTAGGTCCCCTAGAACTGGAGTTACAGCTACTCAGTTCCCAGAAACTGATACTGGGAACCAAATTCAGGCCCTCCAGAGTAGCAGGTACTCTTAACTACTGAACAATCTCTCTAGCCCAATTGCCTAAATAATATCAGGGTTTTTTTTTTTTTTTTTTTGGTTTTTCGGCTTTGGAGGCTGTCCTGGAACTAGCTCTTGTAGACCAGGCTGGCCTTGAACTCACAGAGATCCGCCTGCCTCTGCCTCCCAAGTGCTGGGATTAAAGGCGTGCACCACCAACGCCCGGCCTAAATAATATCAGGTTTAAAAAAAAAGCTTTCTGGGTAGGAAATTTTCTGCATGGCAGTCATTTTCACAGGGTAACTGAAGACATAATCGTGTGTGATATGTTTTGAATGTCAGTGTTTGAAGGGAAAGCTAGGTGAGTGTGCCACAGGGGAAAATGACAAAAGATTCACTGGGGTGCAACATGTATTTCAGTTATACTTTCTGTGTATTCACCACCACAGCATGAATACTTTTATTTAATGTGTTCTGTTTGATAACGTTCATTCTGAAGAAATGTAATTTGATTTGCTGTAGCACTTACTGGTTCTATTTTATCAGGTTGCCCTAACAAACTGTCACAGACTTGGTATCAAATATGGGGGTATCTATTCTACAACAGTCGTGGAAGGCAGAGGTCCAAAAATCAAAGAGTGAGAAGGACTATGTTCCCTCTCAGAGGTCCTGGGGGAGAGCTCCTCCTGCCTCCTCTTCCCAGTACCACTGACTTCCTATGGAAGGCCAAGACCTCTGGGCAGCCTGTACGTTCCATAAATACTGGGCTTCCAAAAGGCTCCAGGTCACAGGAAACAGGTCTGGACATGGCAGTTTATGCTTTGGACTTATTCAGGAAGCTGAGGCAGAAGAGCCCGTGTGGCCTGTGTTACGATAAAGTTTTGAGGGGTACCTTGGTGGATTCCATGGCAGGGGAGGATGACCAAGGCAGAGGGACAAAGCAGGCAGACAGAGCTTAGTGAGGAGTTTTATTTAGAAAGGGAAAGAGGGGAGGAAGGAGGAAAGAGAAAAGAGGTAAAGAGACACAGAGACAGAGAGAGGACAGAAGAGGGAGACAAGAAAAGTCTTGTCTGCCCCAGGGGAACAGCAGGAAAAAGAGAACTGGGAAGAGAACCTAAGTGTATGGATGGAGGTCTTTCTTTTAAAGGGGTCCTTTGCACACTGGGCTGACCAGGGTCCTGCCTGAGTACATTCTGCCAGGTGACAGGGGCAGGCCAGCATATTGCCTCAGTTCTTACAGCCTGGCTTAGCCAGGAATCTATCCCACACAGCTCGCCATCCATCCCAACAGCACCGAAGAGGGGAGGGAAAGACACTTAAGGAACTTTATTTAACTGACCTGTACTTTCATCTCCATAGTTACAAACCTGAAAAGGTTGTGGCTGTTCACGTCCGAGATGCTCTCTCCCTCAGTGGCATACCAAAAAGGAAGGCTATGAAGGCGTTGGCAGGATGTCCTCACAGGTTGGCCACTGTCAAGCAGGCGTTGTTCTTCCAGGTTTCCCTGGCTGTACACACTCACTAGCTTCCCTATAGATATCTTCTGTTCACCTCATCTCTACACAGCTGGATCCCTACCCCCTACCCCCATCTTCAGGCCTTCAGTGGCCCAGGCACTGGCTCCATTGTCTCTAAGGACATTGTTATTATGTATCTAGAGTCCTGTAAATTGTTAAATCTGTAAATCACTAACAAGAAACGTAGAACACTGAGCTTTATCTTATTTTACTTTTCCTGTTATTTAACCCCTCATTATGTCCCACTTCCTAAGCTGTATGACCAGGAAAGAGCCCTATAATCGAGACTTTGTAAAGCCAGTAGGTTTCTTGGCAAAGGGAGCAACAAGGGTTTCATCTCTAGAGAAATGCCTGGGCACAGCTCTGTGCTCCCAATAAGGGACAATAAACCTTTGCCAGGAGACGCAGAGTGTTGTCTTTTAGTGCTTTCACGTTATTTTGTTGAGACAAGATCTTACTCTCCAACCTTGGAACTCACTATGCAGTTCCAGGTTGATCTAACTGTCACAGCAATATTGCTTCAAACTCCCACCACACCCAGCACTACTTTCTTTCTCTGCATTTCTCATCTGGGAAAGAAATCTTTCCCAAAGGCTACAAAGGAAGCACCATAAACCAAACTATCCCCTGATGGCTACACAAAGCAAGGAGACAAGTGGAGAAAAGGGCTATTATTTACCTAGGTCTAGAAAGATATCATGATTCTCAAGAGAAGAACAAATATCCAGTTTATTGATAAATACTTCCTTAAATAATACTGTTTTTACTTCATTCTTGACTGAAATACCTCTCTCCTTGCTAATCTGTTGAATCGGTGCTGGTTATGTTCAACATAATTGGAGATATCTTTGGCATTTTCTTCCCATAGCTTCATAACTTGTAGGACACGTTGTACAAAAAAATGTAGGTTTACAGAAAAATATGAATATAGATTACTTATTAATCCCAAAATGTAGTAAATGACATAGCAAAAACTTTATCAAATCCATGTCCTACCCAAATGGGACAGATCTGTTATACACAATCTCTATGTGAAACTGCAGCATTTTTTTTATAAATTGGACCTCTGACATTAAAAGGAGGTTTACAAAAGGCCCCTCTTGTAACATCAGTGATGCTAGCCTATCTGGTTATTGTTTCTGAATTTTCCTTGAATATGTATTCACTACACACATTTTATCAGCCATATAAAAGCAGTTACAGAAAAAGTTGCACAGCAATCATGATAAAAGTAACATCCATAATTTCATATTATCAAGAGTAGAGCAGAATACTAATTTTTCCCTTTGCACACACACATCTAGAACAAGAGCTTCATGCACATCCACACAGAAGTGTCAGTCACAGCACACTGGGCATTCATACCACATCAGTGGCATAGGCATTCCAAATGAAGCAGCATCGTTACCGTAAGAGATGGACAGTATGTTTCTTGAGTCTAGAATGATCTCTGTCCTCCAGACTCTCCCAGAGAGCCAGCCCTCTTTTTACTTTTTAATTTTGAGGCAGGGTCTCACTAGTTGCCCAGGCTGGTCTTGAACTCATTCTGTAGCTTGGGTGGGCCTTGAGCTTGTGATCCTTCTGCCTCAGCCTCATAAGTAGCTGGTATGACAGGCCTGTGCCACTAATTCCAGTCTCTAAGAAATTTTGCAGCTATTCCTGGTACAGTTTCTTGGTGGGCTCTGGGGTGAGCGACCGTTCCTGGCTTTGCAGAAGCTGCTTCTCTTGTGACTGGAGCTGGCAGTTAGGGAGTAGGAGCGACCGTGCATCATCCTGGTGTTCAGGCCATTGGCCATAGAGAACGACTTAAGGTGGCTTCTTAAGGTAACAGGGAGAGGGAGCTTGTCTACCAGGTGCACAGGTGTGCAGGACACCACAGCACGGCAGCAGAGGTCTTGCAAACTCAGTACTTGGAAAAAGAAAAGAGAACCACTTACTTCTATGTTCTCCATGATTAGGGATGTTTACAAGGGGAAACCCTATATCTTATTGCCTCCCTCCAGGAACTGGGAACCTCAGCCCGGAGGCTGTCTCACTGGTGAATGTAGCAAACCCTGTTCTGCCTCCACCTCTGCCCATGTACAGACCATAAAAAGAGTCTTCTTACGAGCTTCCAAAGCCACAGTTATTATTTCCTTCAAATACATTTACTTAAAAAATGAGCATTTATTTATTTATTGTGTGTATGCACGTGTTTGTGCATAACACAACCTACACATGGAGGGCAAAACCCACCATGAAGGTTCCAGGGATCAAACTCAGGCTGTTAGGTTGGCAACAAGAACCTTCACCCACTCAGCCATCTCACAGGCCCTAAATGAATTTGATTTTTGAGTATGGCCACAGAAACCTTGAAACAAGTCCTAGGAGGCAAACAACTGCGCAGGGGGCTATAGAAGCACTTCCTATCTGATGGGACTACAGGAGACTTGAACCGGCCCTCCTAGCATACCCTTGCTCGGCCTCCAGAGACGGTCCATCCCATGCCGCAGCAGCACGATCCTGGCCAGCTCGGTGAAGGATTCTGTAATGTTGAAGTTGCACAGAGGGCTAACCTCAAAGAAGGTCACACCCAGGCGCTCAGCGTAGGCCTGGGCCTGCTCAGTGGGCACCTGCCGCTTGAATGCCAGGTGCAGTCGGTTTCCCACCAAGATCTTAGGAACCCCAGGGGCATGCTAGAGCATGGGAAAGGCAAGGAAAATGGGTTGAGTGGCGTACCCCTGCAAATTCATGTCCCCCCAGAGCTTCAGAATGGTACCTTATTTGTAAATGTGGTCTTTTGTATATGCATAAGATGCAGTCTCATTGAATTGCAGGGGGAGGGGCGCTGCATAAGGGGAGGAGAGGGCGGGGGGGGGGGAGCACAGGGAAATGCCATGTGACAATGACAACAGAGTGACTGCCAAGGATAGCTGCAGCCACCAGAAGCTGGGACAGGCAGGAAGAGTCTTGCCCTGGAGCTTTTGGAAGAATATGGGCCCTACCAGTTTTCTGTCCTCCTTAACTTGGAGAAAATGGCCCTTTATTAGAAAAGCCACAAGATCCTCCCCAGCAAGCTTGTAGGTCTTTAACCAGCAGTTGGACAAGCAGCAGCCCCATCACTACCTACCCTGCCTGCCCACCCACCCATCCTACCAGCTGGGAGTGGGGCAAACAGAGCATGCAAGCCTGAGCAGAGGCACAGCAGGACCCAGGGTCCTGAGCCTCGAGGTCCTTTGGTTACACTGCTGGGTCCAG